CTGCGTAGTCCTCAGCGACATTCACATTGATATAATGGACTACATCCAGCCGGCTTCTTGCACAGATGCTGAGTTCAGACAGATGTGGGCTGAATTTGAGTGGGAAAAATAATGATCTTTAAAAAAGCATCATATGACCCCTTTAATGTTCTATGAGTGACAGAAAATCAAACTACAAAACCGCCTTTAATGCCTAGTCATTTGTATATTTTAATGGTCAGTTACAAAGTCATAACTTTTTACACCTGTCAGTTCTTGAATTATGTAATTTGTTACTAGCATGACTGATAATTCTTCTGTTTTTTTTTAAATAGGGTATGGCTTTGAGTCTGGGTGACAAAATCAACCTCTCTCAGAAGAAGTCATTCTCGTAAATTTCCGAAACTGAGGACATTGAGGCAAAGGGCGAGATTCAACTAAAAAACGCTATGGTCATTCCTATGTCTTGTCTTTTTTTTTTCTCTATCGCTTGTCACTCCAGACTACCGTACACATACAGTGCTCTGTGGTGCACTCTGTACAGTGCTCTAATCTCTTCAATCCCTCAAACTATGTCTAAAGGGGATCACTTTGACATTTCTACCAACATGATTCTTCTTAACTGCTCTGAAAGGGATTGACCCTGTTAATCAGTAATCTGTTTCAATAAACATTGCACACCATATACCAAGCCTTTGTATTCTCTTGTTAACGAATGGTGTTACAGCGACTCATTTTTTTATTAATTGGATTGCTTGTAAGTAGTCAAGAACAGTCCTGCCCTCTATCCACAGTCGACACAACAAAGGATGTGTTCTCTTGAAAAAACCTTCTGGAATTTTGAGAATTTTGTTATGGTCTCCTGCCTCTTAGATAACTTAGGCTCATAAGACTTGTGGTCAGTCATAACTTTCATGTCTACGTAGTGTATAATAATAATATTAAGGACAAAGGCGTCAAGACTGTGGCTTCGCCCGGAGTATACAGTAAGGAGGCACATTAATTTTTAAGTGAATATACACTACGGTTTAAAGTGTGGTAAAAGCAATAATATAGTATGTATAATAAGTATTATAAATTTAAAATAACTTTTATTTTTATATATTTTAAAATGTAATTTATTTCTGTGATGGCAAAGCTGAATTTTCAGCAGCCATTATTACGGTCTTCAGTGTCATAGAATCTAATTGGCTGACTTGGTGCTCAAGAAACATTTCTTATGAACATCAATGTTAAAAATAGTTGTGCTGCTTAATATTTTGGGGGTACTTGTTATGTATTTTTTCAAGACTGATGAATAGAAAGTAAAAAGAACAGCATTTATATGAAATAGACATTTTTGTGACATTATAAATGTCTTCATTATCACTTTTGATCAATTTTATGTATCCTTGCTGAGTAAAAGTATTACTTTCACACAAAAAAAAAAACTGACCCCAGATTTTTATAAGGTAGTGTATGCATTGTACCTGGTCACCAGTCATTGTCTGTTAAAGTGCCGTGGAAGCAGTTTTTGATGTAAATGATACATTAGATTTAAGTAGCTTCCAGTTTCATGTAGAGTGTTGGAGATGGGTGTGAAAAGTGCTGATGTGACTATATGTACTGTAAGTCCGGCATTTAATTCCATTAGGCTTTTATAACGAGGAACATTACTTGTATAAAAATTTCATTAATGGAGTTTTATGAGTTGAACTTGAATAGTGTTATATATGTAATGAAATAAAAGCCAGTAAAAAAATGATGTAATGAAAAAAATGGTAATGACGTTCTAAGCAAAGACTAATAATAGAGAAGATCGGCTCATACTGAACCTTTTCATAAGGTTTTCACATGTCATGAAGACCCCACTTCAAATATTGTGCAACAACTGAACAAATTACTGTTCTTCTAATCCTCCTGAGCAACACTCATAATTGAAGCACTCAAGACTCTCCATCTGGCGATGACACAAAGTCGGAGCTCATTACAGCTTTGTTCTGAATAATGCAATTTCAGAAAGAGACTTTGATCTATATTGTAACTTGTCAGCTCCTTTAGTTCTCATGAGACACACATTTGAACATGTTCATCACATCAGTAAAAGGTAGACTAATATTTGATTGCAAAACAGAAGAGAAACCCCTATGCGCTAGGGGGATTTTCACACTTTAAATGTTATTTTTAAGAATAGGATTAAAGTTCTTTCAAAACTGCAAACCCTGTTTGCATAGAAGTTTAATTCAGAATAGACTATAGTCTCAAGCCTTCCATTTTACTTGCTATTCAGTTAAAATACTTTTTGTATCATTAGTCACACATTTTCGTGTGAGCATTGCATTGAAACTGATCAGTATTCTGACAAATCTTAAAAGTAGGTATAATTGTTTTACATTTTTTATATTATTGCCCTTTGAAAATGCTGCTGTGTTACTAAGTTGTTGCTGTTAATTTGTGTTCTGTTCCATAAAAAAAAAAAAAAAATCTGGCAGTGATTGCTTTGCCTCATTTGTCATTAGTGACTAAATGAGTGGTGAATCACAAAATGACAAAGCTATAGCTACAGTTTCTGTTTTGATATTACAAACACAGTAGGTGACTAATTAATCATACATGTATAGTAATAATGAAATTGTTCCTGCAATGTGAGTCATGGTGTGAGAGTTTAGACTTTTGCATTAAGAGGTTTTTGTTCCTTTCATTTACTTGTGTTATTTTGTACTGATTTTCATCTTGCATGATATTTTATAAACTGTAAAAGCAATATCACACTTGCAAGAGAGGGCCGTACTGCTAAATGGCCATAACACACTCTTAGTTGTGTGATACTGCTTTAATGTACTGTATACTACTGTTTAAATGTTTGGGGTCAGTGTTTTTTTTTAATATATATATATATATAGTTTTGAGCAAGAATGCATTAAATCAAAAGGGACAGACATTTGTAATGTGACAGATGATTTCTGAAATGCTGCTCTTTTAAACTATTTATCAAAGAATCCTGAAAAAAAATCACGATTTCAACAAAAATATGAAGCAGCACAACCGCCTTGATCATTAATAATAATAAATGCTTCTTGAGCACCAAAACGGCATATTAAAATGATTTCTGAAGAATCATGTGACTATAGAAATAGAAAACTATAGAAAATGTATTTTAAAATAGTAATAATATTTCACAATACTTACTGTTTTTACTGTATTTTTTATTAAATAAATGCAGCCTTGGTGAACATAAGAGAGAGAAAAAAACATTAAAAAATCTTACTGACCCCAAGCATTTGAACAGTTTTGTATATTGGATCAAGTTTGTTTCAAATAAGAGAGGTAAGGCTGGCAAAAGCTGCTGAGGTGAACAGACAACATCCAGATATGTTATGTGCTATTAGACTCCTAATAAAAGCAGTATAATTGATTATCTCTGGTACACTGAATAAAGAGTGTTCAGAGGGTTCATTCTGTAGATAAGACTGACATGTCTTGAGAGGAGCTGGAAAAGTAATAATTTTTAGATGTTTTATGCAACATGTACACTCGTTATTTTTTCTGTTTCCAGGACTGTGGGAGGTGGAAAGAACTCCTGTTGTTGCTTTCCTCCCAGCGACTGCAGTGGGACCATGTGAATCTTGGAAGTTCTGGATTACGAGTTAAATGAAATTCCTCAAATTCCTCTGGGCCGAGAGAAAGAGTCAAAGGGGATTGATTAATTCTGCTACTCAAAATAATATCTTTCCACGGTTTGTGTATGAGCTACTGCTAAAAAGAGTATGCAAACCATTCCGTGTGAAAAAAAAGAGTATGCAAACCACAGTATCCTTTAACAATGGCATTTCTGGAGTTCAGTGGTATAGTATTTTGTCATTTGTAATTTTAACAAGTGCAGTTTCTGTGCTATGGTGTGGCCTGAAACCTGACTGAAATTCTTCATAGAGATCTTTTTTTTTTTTTTGCAGGAAAGAGCACAATTGAGCAGACACAACTTTTTCTAAAATTTTAGACATAAAAGGAAGATTTGAGATGGGTCTGTAATTTGCCAATTCACTAGGATCTAGTTGTGGTTTCTTAATAAGAGGCTTAATGACCGCCAGCTTGAATGTTTTTGGGACGTTACACAGCTGATGCTTCCTCATGTTGTAAAAATCATTCCTCTGTTGATTCACAGGCCCTCTTTGTGAAGACCTCCAGAGGTCATACTACCAAGTCATGACATGTAGAGGACTTTGGGGGTTTATTAGGATGGGTCATTGTGTTAAGATAGACTGAGCCTCAGTAAGTGTCCGGGTCACTCTTCTGCAGCTGTGGAAATAAACAGCTCCATTATAAACCCTGCACATTCAAGTGGGTGGAAAAGGGCCTTAATTGTTATAGTTATCACATAAACAGGTGCTGTGTTGTTGGTTGTCCACTTCAGATTTCCATAGACAGATAAAATCATTTGAATAAGTTTCCCACAATCTAAAATTATATTTGACAAATAAAGTGATCAAGAAACAAATAACCCATACAGTAAAAAAAGAGTAAACATACGGTGAGATCATTCATTTTCAACATTACAATGGATAATATACAGAATAGACCTACTACAGATCCATTGCCACCAATGGTCTCTACAATCAACTTATCTCACGATGCTTTTGATTAATGCAGCCCCGCAGTCTTTAATGGGGAGTGTTGCGCATCTCGTCTCTACAGAATCCCCACAGGTACTCAAGAGAATGTATATAGAATGTGGAGGGGGTGGCATCATCTGTTTCAAGTTTTTGCATTACATCACTCAGTTTTGTGTGAATTCCTGATAATAAAGAACAACTCCCTCACATGTTCAGCACTTACACATCAGAACTTTACTGCCACTAAACTTCATTGTGAGGACCAGGCACTTTTCACTGTAGCAACACCATAACATTTGGGATGCTGTCAGATCCAAAAAGATTGGCTTGACTTTAAAGCATATTTTGCCTTATTTTAAATCATTTTAAGCCATATTGCAGACCACTGGAATTGTGCTAAGCCCCAGTGCCCTGGTTGAGAACTAATTGAGAGGATTCAAGTGTACATTTTCATTTAGCAAACCAGCCTAAGATGGTTTGCTGGTCTTAACTTGTCTCCAAGCCTTGGCTCGTTTCAGAGGGGTTTTTGGGTACTTTTCAGTTTGACATTAAACAGTGAATGACCATAAGATAGCCCCGGACCACCATAGACACTGAGGGGGACAACATTCCTGCAAAAACCTAAGCTGGTTGGCGGGTTTTAGCTGGTTGTCCAGCCTGGTCATAGCTGGTCAGCAGGCTGGTTTTAGAGGGGCTTTGGCCATTTCTTTAGCTGGTCAGGCTGGGAGACAAGTTGGCCAGCCAGCTAAAATCAGCTTAGTCAGGCTGGGAGACCAGCTAAACCCAATCAGCTTAGGCTGATTTTAGCTGAGTTTTTTCAGCAGGGATGGGCTTCTCAGTGGCGTACTTACACTTTTACTACACAATTTTGGATATTTAGTAATTGAGATCAATAATACACTCACACAATGAGTTCCACACCAACGCATACCGGCGGGAAGAGCAGTGGACGCCCCCTAGCGTCTGCTGCGTGAACTGGTTGAACTGATTAGCCCTATCTTCCCCTCATCTTGCAGCACACTGAGCACAGGCAGTCCAGTCAGTGCCTGGTAGCGATTTAGACGAGGGCGTGTGGACTTGAGGCAGCAGTGAATGCATTTCCCACAGACTGTGGTCGCACTTTTGTCCTCTCGTACGGATTACCACTGAGTTCACACATCGCCTAAACGCCGCATCGCATTTTTTCCTCTGCATTTCTCCATCTGAAGGCCTGTCACAGAGTAAAGTGGCTCGGTGTGCGTGTGTTTAGACAGCGGAGCGAGAGCAGCAGTGTGTCCCCGATGGCTGGCTGGAAGGACGGCTCAGTGCAGGAGAAATATCGCCTGGTGGTCGTCGGAGGTGGTGGCGTCGGAAAATCAGCATTAACCATTCAGTTTATCCAGGTAAGCGGATAGATGGCGGAATGTTGTGTGCTTTTCGTCCCTTTAAAAAGATGTGAGGGTGTTTAGGAGATAGGGGTGGATCTTGCTCACAGAAATGGGGACCCCATAAGCGGAAAAGGGGGTTCAGGAATCCGAGCGAGGCCTGCGTCACTTTAACTCTCCGCCTGTATTCAAGAAAATGACTGCCTAAACGTAAAAATAAACATATCTGGAGAAATGTAGGAGTTCATGCATGCAGTGAGAGTTAAAACTCTGTAGCGAAAGTGCTGTATGTAGTTCATATGCATGAGAAACACTTTCGTAAACTGTTGCATATTAGACCGAGATACACAACATTAATAAACATAGCACGCGATTGTAATACTTGAACTGTTTGTTTGGAGTTTCAAAGGCAATATAGTGAGTAGAAATATATTTAAAGGCTGCATAACAGTTATGCAACAGTATGTAAAACAATATTGACACAATTTTCCCCCCTTTTCTTTTGAATAGTTGACTAGTCTCTTAGAAATGTACCGTGTTTCTGCTAGCTATTGTTTCTTCTGCCAAATCTGTGTTAATGAAAATGACATTTCTAGTGTAAGAAGTTTTCAGAATCATTATGTCATTTTAATTGTTGATGAAATGGGTGGTTAATACCAGGTTATTGTAGTGAAAACTGCAGTTATTGTTACACTCATTCTTGAGACATGGGACAAAACATGTATCACAACTTTACCTGCTTAGTTTTCAAAATGGCAACATTTGCACGTCACAATTAACCAGAAATGGTAAATAGAATGTTCATAACACAGATGTATCATTTGTTTTGGTTTTAAATGTATTTTTATCTATGATATTACGTTATTACTCGCTACCCTAAAACCACTTGTTCTCAGACCATTAATCAGTACTTCATGTACCGATAGAAATCATTTAAACTTAAAGAAAATAAACATATAAAGGTTGTGTTTTTAATATATATATAATTTATTATGCTTAAGTTTTCTTTGTTCAATTACAATATATTAACTCCACTGATAAAATAATAAAGAAATTGTTTAGGATTTTACCCAAAGTTTAAGTAAGCCATGTTAGTAGTTAGCAACATAAAAAAAACAAAATGGCTACTGCATTTAATGTGATATGCAAGATATGATTGTTTTGAAAATATCATAAGCTGTAAACAACACTAAGATTTTCTGTCTGGCTGTGCTAACAGCTCAATAGTTGGAGCTGAATATAAATCTGAACCCATCTTGTTGTCTAAGTTCATTCATTCAGTGAAGTGAATGCTAAATTTGTCAATGTTTATGATAGATATCATTTTGTATTTGACACTCTTGCATATGTTATGCAAGAAAAAAAAACATGTATTCTGTAAGAAAACTGAAGAAGTATACATTTAAAAATAATTGTGATGCATTAACTTTAATCTTATTTAGTTTTGTAATTTGTTTTGTCCCAGTACTCAAGAATCTGTTGTTACAATAATACAAGAAAACAAAAAATAATTTTATTTTAGGGGAATTATGTACCTATGATGCCGCAAAATGGTGTCTACTGTAGGTAGACAGCTGACTAGGGTTTGAGACACAGTCTAAATCAGTCTCTCGTAAAGTTGTTTCATCTCTCATAGTTTGTCCTAATAAACTTCTAGCCAAGCAGCTACATTGCAGCAGATTACAGGGTAGGGTGTGCTAAATAACTTGGCGTGACCGGCAACATGTTGATGAGATATTTTGGGTGTAATTCAAGAAAATGTAGTTACATGCCTGAGGAAGCTGATTTGTTTTTGTGATGAACGTTTAATAGGAAAGCAGAGTTTCTTATCTTTTAGGTGTACACATTCAAGCCTAACTTTTTTTTCTTGCCGAAGAAAACCAATGATGAATGTTAGGGTGAGTGTGTAACAAGGTTTACAGTAATTCATTTATAGTGTGAAGATATTAAAAGTGTATTTGTTGGATTTAAGAGCAGCGATATACAACTGATGTTTCTACTGAATCAGTCTGATCTGCTTAAAGCAGCAGATCTATATCAGAACAGACATTTTCTCTTTAATTGCTTTTCTTTATCATAGTAGTGCTGTATCTTCCTTACATTCATGCCAGATTGCTGTCTTTCAGCCACAGGCTCCTCCCCATAAACCAGTTTAATCATAAACTTGCTGAAATATAGCTTTCTTTGTCCATATTTTTGCAAGCATGAGCAAGAGAGGAATTAAAGTGCATTAAAATGCTCGATCACCTTCTACCCTTGTGATTTTTATTAATGCTTAACTGCTGCTGACAGTGCCGCATTTGAGCTTAATAATCTACATTTGTTGACATCATGATCTGTTACTAGCAAATGGGCTGAATAAAACACCTTCAGATAGTAATGAAAATCAGACTACAATTATGCATGAACCAAACACACTTTAGCATGCAGAGAAAGGAAATCAAATCAGCTGTTTTTAAGTGTGTGTATTATGCTGAAACGGTTTAATAGGGATGTAGGATGAAAGTGTTGATTTTCACTGGTGCTAAATGTGTGAAAACCAGAGTAGTCCAAAGAAAACCATGGAAGAGCCTTCCTGTTGGAGTGTTTCTAGAAGTCTTTGCCAGTGAGAAAGCACAGCCCAGCTGTTTTCTGACTCCAGGCTTTCCCATTCAGATGCGTGTTACTCAGGGAGGTTTCATCTGAGTCATGTTGGGTTAATGACCATGGAGAAGCCAGAATCCGGCATCTGAAAGAGGAAGTCCCTCCACTCCTGTTTGGTCTCTAAAGACCCCCTGGATGTGTATGGGAAAGTATGTGCTGCCTCCTGACTCGCACCGCTCTGCGACAGTGTGTTAGGTGCATGTGTGACATTCTACATTAGTTACACTGTCCAGAAACATAATTGATTGCTGTCAAAATTTGGTTGAAGATACTGCAGTGATGCATTACTTTGCTTGACTGCTACACATGGTGCCACAACGTTGACTTCACTACAAAAGCAGGCTGGTTGATCTCAAACTAGCGTCATGACATAAGCCACGATCAGCATCAGTCAGGCATGTGATTCAGACCAAAATGGATTAGTTTACGTCATTGTGATGCAACCCAAGCTGTGTAGCGTAAGTATGGCCTTTCATGTAGTTTCATACAGGTATTATATAGTAACCGATTACGTTTTTGTTAATAAAATCAAAATGATTTTTGTCATTTATTTTTCATTTTTTGGCTATTTTAACCTTGAGTCATAGATATTAATTAAATAAACAAATGATAATTTCATGATTAATAATAATGTTAATTAACATATCTACTAATCAAGATTAATTTTCTTTATTTAAAATTTTTTAACTTAGGTATTATATAGTAACCGATTACGTTTTTGTTAATAAAATCAAAATTATTTTTGTCATTTATTTTTCATTTTTTGGCTATTTTAACCTTGAGTCATAGATATTAATTAAATAAACAAATGATAATTTCATGATTAATAATAATGTTAATTAACATATCTACTAATCAAGATAAATTTTCTTTATTTTAAATTTTTTAACTTTAAAAAATGGAGAGTTAATGTAATTTATGTGATTATTAAAGCTGCAAGAAAATCATTGTTTTTTGCCTTGTGTCGTCAGCTGAGCTTCTTGTGAGTAACGGCTGTTCCTTCATTAGCAAAGGTGTGAAAGTGAAATTGTTGCAGGCCTCACTGACCTTTTTATGGCTTCAGATGGTCTCAGAGTACACTAAGTGTAGCATGGCGCTGTTGAAGGCATGATCACATGTTAGCTAATATTAGCTCTTATTGCTGGCTCTCTCATTTCTGGGAGAACGGACTCCCTGCAGCACCACTTTCTTATGATTGCAGCATGGTCAGAACTCAGTGGTTACGTATGTGAATGTTTTAGCTTCAAACAAGGCCTACACTATGCTGAGAGAAAGCAGAAACAACAGTCTTCTGACAATTTTAGAGGTGCATGGTAGACCATTTTGATTGCTAATATGTAAAATCATTTTGGATAAATGCTGTATGGAGCTGTAATCAGATATATAGATTAAAATATGGCGAGTTTTATTTAGCAAAGACACATTTAATTGATCATTTGGTGACAGTAACATTGTTACCAAACATTTCTGTTTTAAATAAATGCTGTTATTTTGAACTTTCTATTCATAAAAGAATAAAAATGTACCACAGTTTCCACAAAAAAATGTTAAGCAGTGTTTTCAACACGATGAAAATAATAATAAATATTTCCTGAGCATCAAATATTTTCTATTGAAATTTTCTATTTAACTATTTTATTTAAAAATTGTTTCCTGCCTTATACTTTTGTATGATATTGGTAATATCAGTTCTCTTATATTTGTTTTTCTGATACAGTTTTGCCATTTCTGCTTATTATATAGCAATTTAAAGGGGCTTGTTTTTGCTTACCCAAAACACAGTAACTGTAGACCAGGTTGTATTTTTAAAAATATCTGGCAACCCATCACTTGGAGCTTTAAAGAAGAGAACACGTTTGTGCGAGGGAAGAATTCAGAAGAGAGTGGAAGGAGAGCAGTACATGTATGCAAACTGAATAGAAACTGTTGTTAATGCCGATTGGTGGGGAGTTATATAAATAGTTTGAATTACACACACCTTGTAACTGCATTTTTTGCACCCGTATTTTACCTCAAACCACAGCTCTAGTTGAGGGGAAGACTATCTGTGAAATAAAGACTTGCATGTTTGTGGAAATAATTGTTTTAAATGTACACTTTACCTTTAAACAAATCACTGCATTTTCACAACGGGTTTGACAGTAGTAAGTGTGAAAGACTGTGTGTGGGAGGCTGTGTGAAGCAAGTAACGTGAGAGTAGAGATGTTGTTTTCTTCCTGCAGACTCACCTGTTGATTTCTCACACTGCTGTACTGATAAACACACACTGTACTGATTAAAACAGTACTGTTTTCCCAAGCATGTGGCTTAAAAGAAGATCCTCCTTCTCTATCTGAATGGGAAGGACCTCCACATTTTACTAGTACTTTTACATA